AAAAAAAAAAAAAGAATACACTTATCATGATGAATCCTGAGTAATGTATAAAATTATTGAATCATTATGTTGTGCACCTGAAATTAATAGAACACTGTATGTTAATTATTCTTAAATTAAAAAAAATATTGCTTTGTTTGTACAGTCTCTTCATTGTGTTTTAAGAACATAGTCTCCTTTCAGGTAAGGTTAGGAAGATCAAAATATGGCTGATTAAAATATGCATAATTTAAAATGTAAGAAGGCAAAGCATTAAATTGTTAGCCTGATAAAGTCTTCTTTTTGTACCCCATTATTAAGAAGTGATCATTTGCATAGGGTCTGGACTTACTTCCTTTGCTGAGGAAATATACTAACTAGTAAGCTTTCAGTTTAGAGGAGGGAGCTTTAGAGATCATCTGTTCCAATGTATAAGATAGACAGTTTGTTGTTGTTAAAACTCTAAATCATTAAGGTCTTCTGTGCTAGATATTGAGGTTTAGATACATTTTCCCTAATTCTTAATAATTCTGGAAAGGTATGTGTTAGATCCCCTTTCGAGATAAGAAAACAGACTAAGCAGAAGTGACTTGCCTAAGGATGTATTGTAGTTATAGGGCCAAGGGATTTGGACCCAAATCTGTTTGGTTTTTAGCCCATGCACTTAAGTCCCATTAGTTTATTATACTTTTTAATTAGAATTTATAGACTTAGTATCTTGTGAGATCACTTGTTTCTTTGGCACAAAATTATAATTTATATTCAGTATTTCTCTGTTATTGGTTCCCTTTTGTTTTGGCTTTTACAGGATCAGAACAGGAAATTATGACTTTTGATTCAAAATGTTTTATGTTTATTTATTTTGAGAGAGTGTGCATATGCAAGTGGGAGAAGGACAGAGGGAGAGAGAATCACAAGCAGGTTGCACACCATCAATGAAGAGCCCTATGCAGGGCTCAAACCCACAAACCGCGAGATCACGACCTGAGCCAAAATCAAAAGTCAGACGCCTAACTGACCGAGCCATTCAGGTGCCCCATGACTTCTGATTCTTAAGTTTTGTTTTTATTTTTAATTGTGAAAGATAACATACTTTTGGAAAAGAAGATAAAATGTGTGTGTGGTTTCATCAATAAAGGGATACCCAGTAACTATTATCCAGGTCAACAGATAGTCTACCTGTGTATGACTTGATTGCCTTAGCACAAGAACTAAGCCCAGACTCTAGGCAGATGTTCAGTTCTTAACTATTGGTTCCAAATGATTATAATTCTGTTTCCTCCCCCTAAGCGTTAACCACTATCCTGACTTCCAGTGGTCATCATTTCTTCGCAGTTTGACCACCTAAGCATGCATTAGTAAATGTATCTAAATTTTTTTTAATGACTTTCTTTCCATAGACTAGAAGTTGCTTAAAACCATAGATACCAGGTTAGAGATTAATAGAGTTTGGGTCATAGAAGAGTGTTTGATTTGATTATGGAAACAAACTAAGAATTCAGTTAAACACAAATAATTGCTGTGCCAGTTATAATTAGTATTGGCCAGTCCTTTGGGCTGTGATTCAGATCTGTTTCTAATTTATTCCAATTTCTTCCCATTCCAAAAAAGTAGTAGCTTTTTTGCACTAATGTTATTCTAAATATATATTATATCCTATGGGATAACTACAGGTGCAGTTTGCCATAACATAATGTCCCTTTTGTCCCTCTTTTACAGCGTGGGTAAGTTCTCTGTCCATGGGGATGATTTTCTTTTGCTGCCCAATAGCCAGCGTCTTCACAGACATGTTTGGTTGTCAGAAGACAGCTGTCGTGGGTGCTGCTGTTGGATTCATTGGACTCCTGTCCAGTTCTTTTGTAAGGTGAGGACTTGGTTCTTCATTCTGCTTTTCAAGAACTGTTAGATACCATAAAGTTGTGCTTTCAGAAACTTTGCTGTTTACAAGGAAAAAATCCTCTTTTCATTGCGTAAGCTTTAAGCACTATGACTTACACAGTGTTATCCATGGCAGCAAGTCAGAGCTTCATAATTTGAGTGCTTTTGTTTGCACCTCTCTCATATTTTTTATTCAGTTGCATTTTTTTAACCCACTGATCAAAAGCTATCAAGTTTTAAGGGGAGCAAGGGGTCACATGGTATAAATTCCAGGTGTCGAACAGTGGACTCACTTTCCTATCGTTCAAGTTCAGCTTTCTTAGGAAAGCCTTCTCTAGCAACTCCAGGTCACATCACATCCTTTCTCGGGATCCTCTTTACACACATGGTTGATATTTACTGACGTACACTGCACTTTTCCAGTTGTCAAACTTCAACGATTTGAACCAGCTGTTACTGAGGTGAAAATTTAGAAGTGAAAGATGCTGAGCAGCATTGAAAATGCCACCATTTGTGCTTATGTGCTTTACTCTGTAGGAGACATGCAAAGCTTAATATCACGCAGCACTTAGTATTTAAAATAGTGCCCAAGAGAATGTTTCCGGTTTATATCCATGGCTCTCAGGTTTTCCAACTGACAGATTTACAGTACTGTGACATATTGTATAGATACAGGTGTCCATGATTGTACCGTGTTGTCAATACTGTTTTTAATATATGCTTTGAAAAAGGCAGAGAAATGTACAGTGGATTTAGATTTTTCCTTTAAAATTGTTAAATAAAAATAGCACCTTAAGTAGTAAGTTGCAGTTATCTTGAAAACTACTTATGTGGAAAAACTGAGGCACTGAGGCAGAATGAATGAAGTATTTTGTTCTATATTGTTTGGGTAGATGTCTTGTTTCACAAAGATTATGAGTAGGGTGTTTTTTACATGTTTAATATTTTTTTCGTCAAGTACCTGGAACCTATGGCTGCTGAATATATGTTTATGGAATAGAGTGGAGATTGAGTAGAGGGTGATCAGAGTGAAGTAAAATTAACCTGGGAAAACCTAGGAGTGACTCTTGAGCCTCATTTGGAGATTGTGCTCGCTGTGGACTAATAATGGGGGAAGGGCATCTCAGAGAAGATTGCCAACATGCCTTGATTTTATCAGATTCTAGAGTTCCTTATGATTACCTTAGCATATTGCTAGACTAGTGTTATTGTTCAAATTTTAATTATTAACCAACTTTATCTGTCTTAGTTTCTAATAAATAATTTGCCTTTGCCACTGAGATACAACCTTTTGAATTGGGCTTTTCAAAAAGAAAAAAATTTAGTATTCTTTTACTCCTTACCTTAATTGTTTCAAAGAATGTAATAATATCCTTGATGTTCCTAAGAGATATGTAATTAAGTTATTTGGTTAAACTATACAATTCTTAATCCTTTATTATTGTTTTGAGGCATACATGGCCTTAAAACTTACAAGGTGGGATCACTAATAACACACTTCCCTTTGTCTTCCGGCAGTCAGAACATGGTCTTTTGCTGTCTTGCACAATGCTGAGAGCCATGCAGTATAGGGGCGAAGGTTGGTCCACAGCCGTTAGGCCAGCAGAAATGAGGCACAACTGCTTCTCTGTGCAAATGTTTCTGAAATAACCTTGGGGAGAAAATATCAAATGCAGCTTTTCCCTTGAATAGATTGCTTAGTAAGTGTCTGGGAAGTCTCAATAAAATAATGAGTTTTTGTAGTAAAATTATAACTTTCAAAAGCTTTTATTGAGACTAGGTTTTTTTGTTCGTTAGTTTAATCACTGTCATTTTACTGAAGCCTTTCCTGGCACTGTCCTTGCTGAGTTATGGAGAGCACAACAGTTCTGACTGAGTGCTGCACGGTTCACCTGAAATCCATGAAAAGAGGAAGAGGAACAAAATCACTGATGGCCTTAATGGTCGTTTTTCACATAGTTGAGGCATTTTATTATCCATTCAGATGACGTGAAAATATTTTTAGTGTCATATTCTTAGCTTATTGAGTTTTTCACCTCTTTCTGTTAAATTTTTATTTGTGTAAAATCGGTTGAAGAGCTAAAACCCACTCTTACTAGAAGGTTTTATTCTACCAAGCACTTGATAAAAATAACGAAAGCTGCTTTCTCTCTGTTTCATCTCCCCACAGCTCCATCGAGCCTCTGTACCTTACCTATGGAATCATATTTGCTTGTGGCTGCTCCTTTGCATACCAGCCTTCGCTGGTCATTTTGGGACACTATTTCAAGAAGCGCCTTGGACTGGTGAATGGCATTGTCACCGCTGGCAGCAGCATCTTCACAATTTTGCTGCCTTTCCTTTTAAGGGTTCTGACCGACACCGTGGGCCTCTTTCACACACTGAGGGTCCTCTGCATCTTCATGTTTGTTCTCTTTCTGGCTAGCTTTACGTACCGACCTCTTGCTCCAAGTGCCAAAGATAAAGAGGGTGGAACCAAAGGAGGCAACAACAGATTCTCCCTCTTTTCCAGGAGGAAGTTTAGTCCTCCAAAAAAATTTTTCAATTTTGCCCTCTTCAAGGTGACAGCTTATGCGGTTTGGGCAGTTGGAATACCGCTTGCACTTTTCGGATACTTTGTGCCTTATGTTCACTTGGTGAGTATGCTTCTCCGGCTTTGCTGGTAACGGGTATTGCTATTTCATACAGGAAAATTTCTTAGAAGAGCAAGATAGATCACGTGGAGGTTGGTCTTAAACATTATTCTGGTTGTAATTCAGGGACTCTTGAAATTCAAGGTCCCTTAAGACAAGGTCAACACATCCATCAGATCATTAAATAGAGGATAGGTTTCGTGGTGTGCTTTTGGAATTTAAAAAATTGCCAAACCGTAAAAAATGGAAAAAAAACTTAAAAAAAAAAAAAAAAAAAGGAAGGCTAAAATACCGGAACAAATGTCATCAATACAAAAAACTTAGTTGGTCACCTTTTCTTTAAGTAGCTTACAAATCATAATCAGGGACAAAGATGGGGCAATGATTTTGCCCACATCAATAAATTATTTTTTGACAGAATGGTACAGAAATTAGGTAGGCTGTAAAAGCCAAATGGTCTTGACACAAAGAAGCATTACACCTACTTGTGGGATACTTCTGGGAAAGTGGGGATTTTATTCAGAGGATTATTTGAGAAATGTTAGTTAGCAATTTCAAATGAGGGGAGAGCAAGGATTTCATAGGAGATTTAGAATTCAAGTACTCAAGCAATTTATTTTGTTTATTTCTATCACAAAGGCAAATTTAAGCCTCTTTATACCGAAACAAGAATAGGCAGTGTCTAAAGTATCTGCCCCTGGCAAAATTTGCTCTAAAGTGCTTATTATGTCCCTTCCTTTTTTCTTGCTATTGTGGCTAAAAATATATTTATAGTTCAACATAGTTGATAAGTGACAAGCAAAATGATGCAAAGGTACATTCTTTTGTGGTATGTATACTGTGTAAGAACTTGGATCTTTTCTAGCTCTTAGTCTACTTTTGGATATTTGTGTAACTTTTCATTAAAGTTTCGGTAGAAGTTGGTAACACAGCTCAAGGATTTTTGGGCTCAAGCGGTCAGCTTGTAAACTATGACATCAGTCCTTTGTGGGTTCCTATGCTTAGTCCAGAAAAGAATTAAGTCAAGGAAACAGGAAGAGAAATGGTAAGCAGTCCTGGATCTAGAACTAATTTTGATTTCTCTATTCTCCTAATTCCTGTTTTGCCAGAGGTGTTGAAGAAGCACTGGGGTAACCAATGGGAGGCAGGGAAAAGGACTGGTTTTTAGTACTTTGAGTCACTCGGCATTTTGCAGAGACTGAGGTAGTAGATAAAATGACCTCGTATGTGACACCTGTCACATATGTAGTGTGTGACTACATCTTTTTTTTTTTTTTTTTTAGTATGTGGCTACATTCTGACTTCACAGTCCATTTTTACCCTTTTAGGAAGGCATATCTGAACCATCTGAAGCTTTTTTGTTGTTGTTGGAATATAGATCTGTTGTGGGAGGATCTACTTTACCAACTATCTCTTCTGTAGCTTCTAGAGTTAAAACATTTGTGGTGTCCTTTTCAAAGATGAATAGATTTTTTTAAAGAAATTCTCTTAGGGGGGTGCCTGGGTGGCTCAGTCAGTTAAGCATCCGACTTCAGCTCAGGTCATGACCTCATGGTTCATGAGTTCAAGCCCTGTGTCAAGCTCTGTGCTGACTTCTCAGAGCCTGGAGCCTGCTTTGGATTCTGTGTCTCCTTCTCTCTCTGCCTCTCCCCTGCTCACACTCTTTCTCTCTCTCTCAAATAAATAAACATTAAAAAAACTTAAAAATTCTCTTAGGTACTACAAAGTGAGCGCACACAGAGAAATCAGTATCTCAGTTTTTTTTTTAAATAAAGGTTTTCTGCAACTTATGACTGATTTTTTTTTTAATGTTTATTTTTGAGAGAGAGAGGCAGAACGTGGGCAGGCAAGGGGCAGAGAAAGAGGGAGACACAGAATCTGAAGCAGGTTCCAGGCTCTGAGCTGTCAGCACAGAGCCTGATGCAGGGCTCCAACCCATGAGCTGTGAGATCATGACCTGAGCTGAAGTCAGACGTTTAACCAGCTGAGCCACCCAGGCGCCCCTGTTTTGTTAATACCAGACATTTACCAAAGGACAAGTGGTGGGTGACTGTCTAGTTATTCTTGTAACATTTATAATTTGTAAATTAATTTTACATATGTTATTTCATCTGACCTTTACAAAAAACCTGTGACATAGGCAAAATAATATTAGTCCTCACTGTGGAGGTTGGAAAACAGATCCATCATTAGCAAAGATGTTAAGTGACTTCTTCATATTCAAAGATGTTAAGTGAAGTGAGTATGCCTAAGGAAATTTAATAAATATATTATTGGTATTTTTCTCTTTTTTTATATGAAATTTATTGTCAAATTGGTTTCCATACAACACCCAGTGCTCATCCCAACAGGTGCCCTCCTCAGAACCCATCACTTACCCTCCTCGTCCTCCCACCCCCCCATCAACCCTCAGTTTGTTCTCAGTTTTTAAGAGTCTCTTATGTTTTAGCTCCCTCCCTCTCTAACCTTAAAGTAAATCAAATTTCATAGTGAGTGATGAGTTAGGTGGTATTCTAGATATTATTGTCATCAGGAGGCTGTAAATCAGATAGTACACAAAACAATAGGGTCTCTGTTAACTCCAATAACAAACCAGGCCTTTTTTCTGCTGTCCTTCCTTCCAGGCATGTTTTCTTAGAAAATGTATTGATATTTTTCATTTGTGATTTTTCGCATTGTCGAACAGTTATAACACTAAAAGCTATGTTGGAGAGGAAACACCAGACAGCTGCGGGCTGTTGCCATGCGGGCTGTTGAAGTCTTGTGTTTAATGGGTGCACCAAGTTGCTTACTGTGTTGTAAATTAAGGTTTGGATTGTGGATGCTTGCTTAATCCAGGCTTCATGGATCCAGCCTTCCCCGTAGAGGAGGAAAAGGTGTCTTACATCTTTCCAAACACAAGTAGATGATATTCAGTTCACATTAAACCCTTTGTTGTGTATTGAAGGGAACACACACAAGGTATAAGAACCTGTCGAAGGAGGATAAAATCTAGTAAATATAATAATAAGAGCTGTTGTATAGTTTACAACTTTTACATACATTATCTTATTTCATCTTCACAACAGGGAGTACTTGTGATGCAACATCTTTATTTCACTGATAAAAAGACTGAGGCACCAAGAGATTTAAAAACTTGTCTAGGGTCACAGAAATAGTTACTGGTAATTACTGGTGTGACATTTCTATTCCAGAGGCAGTAGTGTATATTGGGTCAAGGTAAGGGCTCTGCAGTAAGACAGATCTGGGTTTTGTCCCTAACTAGTTGCATGACCTTGAGTAGTTCTTGTGAGCATCAGTTTCTTCATCTATAAAATAGGGATAAACCCAATTGTGTAGAGTTGTAAGGATTAGAAAAAAATGTATGTAAAGCATCTATCCAGTCCTGGTGTAAAAATGAGAATTAATTTAAAGACAATGTGATTGCTGATTGAGTGGCTTTAAGTGAGGGCTATAGAAGAGTCAAAGGAGAGAGATGATACCCATTTGGAAAAGGGCTTAGTAAAAGCTTCCCAGGATTGGAGTTGGGCCTTGAGCTTGAGGTTGGTGTTAAATTCAGATCCCCAATCAAGCAGGGAATTAATTTATCTAGGTCTTCTTTGAAGATCCAGAAGTACAATGAAGTGGTTAGGTTAAAAACTCTAAGATTTTTACCTGCTAGGCTGTACACGAGACTTGAGAGAAAATATGCATGCTCTGTGTCAGTCTTGCTCTTGAAGCAGGGTTGGAGGTTTTCTCTTTTAGTAGTTGACTTTTATTTCTTTATTTTTTTAATGTTTATTTTTGACAGAGACAGAGCACAAGCGGGGGAGGGGCAGAGAGAGAGGGAGACACAGAATCTGAAACAGGCTCCAGGCTCCCAGCTGTCAGCACAGAGCCCGATGCAGGGCTTGAACTCACAGACAGCGAGATCATGACCTGAGCTGAAGTCAGACGCCCAACCGACTGAGCCACCCAGGTCTCCCAGTAGTTGACTTTTAAAGATGAAGAATCCTATTGTTTCCTGAAAGCTGTCAAATGATTTCTCTTTTAGGCCTACCCACTTACAGTCTCCACTGTGAGGGTACAAATCTTCTAGATCAGTTTAAGTGAGGCCTAACTTTCTAAATAAACAATCCTATTGGCAGCTGCTTCAGTTTTTATTATTTGCCCCTTTTGCCTGAGAGTTGTTTTATGTTATTTTCTGGGCTACATATTTATGGTTTCTCCTTATCCAGTTCTTCATTAGCTTCCAAAAGTATGACACTCTTAGTTTTTGTCCTACTTCTCCATCACTCTTTAGTTTCTTTGCTGGTTCCTTTTCCACCCTGACTCTTCATATCAGCGTGTTCCAGGGCCTGTCCCTGATCTTTTTATCTACTCATTCCATTGGTGGTTTCTTCCAGTCTCCAGAGTTCAAACATCTTATCTATGCCGGGGACTCTAAATTTGTATTTCTCACCCAGACCTCTTTCCTGAATACTCTGCCAGGCTTTGAGAACCAACTGCCTACTTAGTATCTCCACCTGAGTGACTGCTACCTGTTTGAGATTTAATATGTCCAACCCTAAAGTCCTGATCTTACCCCCTCACAAAACTTCTCTGCCCCCCAGCAGTCTCCATCTCAGGAGATGGCAATTTCATCTTTCTAAGTGATTGGGCCCCAAACCTTGGAGTCATCCTTGGCTCTTCTTTCTTTCCTATTACACTCCTGATCCGGTCTGGAAATGTTGGTGGTTCTCCTTTCAAAATATATCCAGGATCTGGCCACCTTTCATTATCCTCACTACTACACCTTAGACCAGGCCATCATCCCCAGCCTGGATCACTGCAGTTGCCTCACAACTGGTTTCCCTGCTACCTTCTCTGCCTGCTGCAGTCTGTACTCTACACAGAAGCCACCAGGGTTCCTTCAATACATAATTCACTCTGCTCAAAATCCTTCAATGGCTCTCCATTTCTTTGAGAGTAAAAACTAATGTCCTTATAGTGGCCTACAAGGTACTCCATGATCTGGCCCCTCC